TTAAGTCAAACAGGAAATTTTAAAACACACGATTTCACATTAAAGAATTATCAAACATATATAACAAATGTAAAATGGAATTATTTGCTTGAAGACGCTCTCGTAAGCTCTAGAGAGGGAATTCCAATGGCAGTGATTTTTACACGACAAAGCTTGATGGGATTTGTATTTCTCGCTCTTTCTCACATCTGCCACAATTATCCGCATTATTTGCATTATCCTAGTAAGCAGTTTTTGCCTTTTTGTTTTTGCCTTTTTGTTTTATTTTCAATAGGACAGGCACAATGGGACAGGAAGCCCAACAAAAGGGAAGGCTGCAAAGAAGACAAATTTTTAAGGGTAGTGCGGGATCTTAGGTAAATGTTTTACCCCCTGATTGTACACGAAACTTAAGCATTTAGAGAAAGATCATATTCATAATACCTCTCTCCATTGGGTTAGCATAAGACAAAAATCAGCATCGCTAGATCTATTTCCAAAACCATTTACAGAAGAACCAACCAAATGTAAAGAGCACCCTGTCAAAAAAGAGATAGATTAAAATTATGGGCTTCCTTGGCACACAGAGAACCCATTCAATCAATTCCTACTGAAAAAAGAAATGTTTTCATTTTAAATGCATAATATGCATTTCTTATCATTTTCTTTTCATCACCCTTTTTAAAAGTTCTTTTGTGTGTGACCAATAAACTGGAATATCAAAACTGGGCTATTTACTGAAGGATCTGTTGTACAACTTAAATAAATGGTTGTGTTTATACACAGCACTGATGTACACAGAAGGCTCTCATTCCCCYATCATGCAAATAACAACTTTTCAAGGACTTATAACTTTAACTGAAAATATTTTTTTAAGGATGAGCATTTTTAAAGTTCTAAAAGGACTATGCATTGCATAACCCTATTTTTCCTAAACCTAAATTTTTTTTAAAAGCCATATTTTCGAGTTCAATTTGATTGAGTAAATCTGAATTCTCAAAATAGCTATGCAACAGCATTCATGAATAAAGTTCATAGCCATTGGGATATGCCAACCTTCTATGTGTACAATTGGTTATAAGTGGCTAAAAGGATATGAAAATGAGATACTTTGGGGTKGCTGTGTACACAGTCCACAAGAACTCCAATTACTGCTTACCAGGAAACTGTTGCCTGAAGATKCTTTCAAGAACAGAACGTAGGAGCTCTTTTTTCTTGAGTAAGTCTGGACTTTGAGCATTGTTTGTGCTTATTTGCATAATTTCATCAGTCAACTGAAAAATGTTAAATGAATAAATGTCAGTACCATATGGAACAATTATTATCAATATTAACATCAATATATTATTAAGTATTGTAAATTAACTGCTACAATTATTCTGTTATGCTAAATCATTTCTTTATTTTGGGTGGAAATCAGCATTTTGGTCCTGCTTGGCTTGTGATAAAACAAGAAAATGCACCAGGGCGAGGTTCATATGATGCATACCGAGGGATACTGGGTCCATAATTGCGATATAAGACTTGCAAAAGATGGCAATGTAAATAACAAAATCACAATCTTTAGTGCTAAACACATTGCGAACAACTGATTTAAGTTTTTTAAAATCCTAGATTTTATAAAAGAAATGAATGGAATTTGAAAAAATCTTAACACAGACTCTGGCTTCCTGTTTTCAGAAATACTAGCTTTTTGAAAGACTGTATTAGTCATTCACTCCTGTCATTGATACCAAGTTTCATGGATAGTATTTACWTTGCAGCAGTCTTTCATCTTACAAAAGTTAAGGTCACTCTAAACTATCATGCCAATTAGAAAGACTTGTACCCAGTCTTCTATTTGTATAAGAGGTTTGAGGTATAGGTAATGGCACTTATTAATCAATGCTACGTTTGTTTGTACTTTTCCTTACTGTATCAAGAGTAAAAGGTAATTCTACAGGGTGTGGTGATGAACTACGCCGTGATGTCTCCCTTGACCAACRGTTTTGCTGAGGTTGTGATTTGGTTCTTGAGTCAGGTCCACTTGTTCTTCTAATCTTCTTGTTGCTATAGGAGCTTTCACCTAAGTAAAAAAATAACTCATAATGGTACATTCTTAAATACTCCAGTTTCCAATTGATAGCGAAAAACCGCTGCTTTATTTGACTACAGATTCTCTTGCGCAAAAACCTGACCAAACACAAAAGGGAGCACGAAAAAATTTCATTTTTACAATAGTCTTAAAAAATTGCATTTTCCMCAAGTTGAGACTAACCCTGTATTCCCATGAGACCTAAGGTATGAGCTTTCTGGGAATACAGGGTTAGCCTCAACTCGGGTAAAATGTAAATTGTCAGCGCTATTGTACGTACAACATTTTCTCGTGCTTTCTTTGGGTTTGGTGAGTTCCTTGCGTAAGAAAATCTGCTGTCAAAATAAGACAGCATTTGGTCGCTTAGAATTCGAAAATGGAGTATTGAGCTTGCTAGGCACATATAATCACCTACGTTTCATGGAAACAAATGTTTTTAATTGTTTTTACTGTTAAAACTTTTGCTACAGTCAAGTAGGGCTAAGACAGACCAGGCCCAAGGTTTTAAAAGGGAATATAGTAAAGAAAACTAAGAAGACGCTAGGGAGTTTTTKGAAGAGTCTATTAAAAGGAGAGAAGTTTGAGAAAACCATTCTATCTCCAGCCAATTAACAATTGCATTGCAGCTCAATGGCCATGCCTGGATCAGTTAACAAAGAATTTTTTTATTTTCATACAAAATTTATCAGATATAACTTGCTCAGGAGAAGAAAAAAAGAACAGAACATATATGCTAACTTGAAGAGCAACTATGTTGGAAGACAAGTTGAGGGCTTTTGTATAACTTATATGTCTGCCTTCAGATGACATGATAACAATGCAAATATTTTCAAACTGTTTTTGAAAGCAGTAAAGAAGTTGCAAATAATTTTATTTATTTTTATTATTGGTTAAAATTCCTGTTAAAATTCCTGTGTTATTAGCATGCAGCTGACTGACCTGGATTGAATTCTGAATAATGTCTTCTTTTGAGCCCCTGATTTCCTCTGTCTTCCAAATGACCAAAACTTTCATTTGATTCCACAAAAACATCTTCAGAGTCCCAGTTATTTTTTCTCTTATGCTGAAGATATGGTGGGGCACTTGCCCTCCTASAGGAGCCTGCCACTACAGCATCGTCATCTGGAATAAACTGACTCTTTATACTTTTATTTGTTGTAGAATTGAAATTAGTTTGTGCATGGCTGGATAAATAATGTCTTTGGGTATATGAGCTGCTTGGTCCATCATTCCTGGTTTGTATTGGACTATTGTAATTTGACTCTAAATCCAAATGTGAAATAACACTAGCTTTGGGTGGATTATTTCCAGAATTTCCTTCTCCCACAATTCTCTTCAAGGGATATAAGCTATCACTGCCATATCGCGACATGTGATTATTAAATGGTTGGGGTTCATACACTTGAGAAAGCCCATGGACACGATGATAAGAGCCACTTGTTGTTGTTGTGTGGGATACTCCCCAGTTTGGCATACTATGCCTTCTATTAGATTGACTTTCATGGTCTCTATTAGCAAAATATAAGTTGCTGTCCATAGTWTTTACAGAACTTAAACTTTGTCTTGTTTGTAGGACTGAATGCCTTGTGTCTCTGTCCTGTGTCTCTTCGTACATTTGCTTTTCAAGGWCATTGCAGAGAAGTGGAACTTTAGCGAGCTTCTTCAAAATATCTGACGGGGAATCCGTTCGCTTCGAAGACATCGAGAAAGGTCAAAACTACCAAAGAAAGGAGAGAATAATTCCTTCATTAAATACGAAAATCTAATACTAATCAATGTAATAAGTTTACAATCTGCATGAAATTTGTCWTTCTAAGAATTCTAATAATACTCGAGTCGTTGAAACACAATTAAMAACAAAATATCAACCGCAAAGCTATGTTTTTCGTTGGAAAAAGAATGGGGACAGGCCAAAAGGAATTTCAAATACGTACCTTCAAATTAAACACCTTATTTTTTGCACAAAATGAATGAAACTTCGAGAAGTATAAATTTGTCACATTCCTTCCGCCATGTTTTGACAACAAATACCGCTGACAAGTAAGTCCGAGCCGATTTGGCGCCTTTTTTAAAAAAATCATTAACTTAACTTAGGCTTTGGTTTAATGCGTGTACCATTCCGCCATTCAATTTTCATATATTTCAAAATATAAAAATATAGCAATTAGGCCTATCATTTCAAATTTCGAAAATTGGAATTTGAATTTTGATCGTGATTTTCAAAAATTCTATTTTTGAAAAATGAGTTTCAGATTTCAAATTTTGTTTTTCATTTTTTTCATTTCAAAAAGATAAACTTTGAATACGGTTTCAATTTTTTAAAACTCGTTTTTCATACTTCCAAAATTGGAAAAATAATGAGCGCCAGTATTGACG